AAAAAAAAAAAGATAGTAATAAGTGCTAAGGTGTGAAGGTCTAAACTTGAAACTTCTTACTATGAATTTCCACACACACACACTAAGCGCTCATAGGCTAAATCTTTTAACAAGTGGTGTGAAGAATAAGATGGAATATTTTACTTTAAGTGAGCATATGAGAACTTTTGAATATTTGAGACTTTGCCTTTAATTGAACTTTAATTTCTAAATTTTCTTTGCATACATATCATATAGTTGCATTTTTGCATTGGGATTTTGTGGGTAGATTCGCTGCAAACCCTCACAAGACACAACTCATCAACTAGGGTGACTTAGGGGTTTAAAGACTTGTTGCATATGCTAAAGTGCAATCGTGATTCCTACGAAAATGAGTTAGATTTTATTTTTGTTTCTTTTGTCTTTTTATTTTACTCGAGGATGAGTAAAACTTAAGTTTGAGGGAATTTGATGAGTTGAAATTGTATACATATTAATGTGGAATTGTTGCCTTAATATTATTGATATTTGGATGAGTTTTATGAGATTTTACTGAATTTTATAAGGCTTTACATGATTTTCATTCTTTGTGCCAAAAAGGATTTGAATGCATAAAATAAGAGTTTTTAAGATTTATTAAATATTTTCTAAAAGTTGAGGGACTGAATTGCAAGAAGAAGGGAGGCCATTTGGAACCTAAATGAATGAATCTTGAGTTTTGGGATCTAAATGCTCATAGTACAAAATCTGAAGGATCAAATCTGCTATTTTATCATTGAAGAAATTGCAAAAGGAGGCCAAAAACCCGACACGGGTGTAGTGTCGACACGTAACCGGGGTGTCGACACCATACGTTAAACGTCCAGAACCAGATTCTGTTTCCTATTTTGTGTCAACATGTAATACAAAGTGTCAGCACCACGCGATCAGCATCCAAAATTTAATTTCCTATTTCTGTTCCAAATTCTACTTCTATTTCAATTAGGGTTTCTAAAATCCTATAAATGCCCATCTAAATTCAGAATTAGGAGTTTTGAGAGGCTAGTGGCAGCCCTCTTTTGGGCATTATTGGAGATCAAGATTGAGGTTCCATCAACAATAGAAGATCAAGAAGTTCAATTTTCTCAAATTGGATTTTATTTTTTCTTGAGTTTTTATCTATTGTTTGATATTTGAATGTTCATAATTTTGATTTAATATTTTATTATTTTTATTATGAACTGATTTATTCTACTAAGATTACGATATAACATAATCAATTCAATATGAACTTAGTGATTTTATGCTTTCAATTAAAATTATTTGCATGAGGAGTTTATATTATTGAACTTAATACATTGAAAATCTAATCGCCTTTCAATTGATTTAGTGATTTATGCATGAATTTGAAAAAGAATTGCGTAGATTAGACCAATAATAATATAAATCGTGTGCTATAGACTATGAGACCGAGAGGTAATTAGCTTACATGTGGTAGTGGAGGAAGAGAAGAGAGTTAGGAGCTCCCCCTTCTTAAGCTAGACGTTTCCATAGAATTTAATGCTCTTAAGTTTGTTTAAATTTACATAAAAATATGATTAATTTAACAAACAATTGAAGGATTAACTTGACTTAAGAAAGTTAGTTAATTAATTTAGGAAAATCCATCATCACATGCAATAACATTCAACAATTTGGTAGTCCAGAATTTATATTGATTGATTATGGTGAAGTCAATGTTTTAGTACCTCATATCTTGGTTAGGTTTAATTTAATTATTATTTTTCTTTTATTATTTTTTTTAGTTAAACTTTCTTCCTATTTGGTTGTTCAAATAAATTTGGATTAATTATTTTGGTATTTAGTTAAACACAATCCTTATGAGTTTGATACTTTTCTCATCATTATATTACTTGGAACAACTAGTACACTTGTTAGGGTGATTTTAGTGCATCATTGGCAAGTCACATAAGAAACTTCCATGTAACATTGGAGAATGACTCACACGTTAACTTGAATATTCCAACAAATTATGATGCTACTTTGATCTTTAATATTGGGTTAATACCAAAAAAATTAGTCATT